CCAACGTTGTGCTTTGAATATGAAAAATAAGAAAATATAAGTAAACTCGAAAATATGCGGTTAAAATTTTTTTTATAATATTACCAATGCAATGCCGGGGACCCGCGCCGAATGGCATATAAGCAACAGGATCATAATTTTGATTCACAAATCGTTCTGGCTGCCAAAGCATAGGATCAGGAAAATAGTTGGCATCACGATGCAAACCAAATAGCGAAATAATAATTGGGGTTCCCTCCTTGATCACCAAGTTGCTATCCGGTAGAGGATAGTCGCGAGTGCATTGCCGATTGAGTATCGGTAGGCCGGGATACTTGCGTGTAGTTTCTGTAAGACAAACGAAATGAAGCACTGGTGAAAACTCGAAGTGTTTCTTAAAAATTACACCTTCAGCTAACCCATCAAACATAACTCCAAGTATTTCATATCTTGTATCGCTTCGTATGTGAATTTATTGTCATGTTTTTCTAACGCTTGCTTCACATCACGCTGCACTTTTTCCAAAGCAGCTGGCTGTTGCGCCAATTCAAAGGCTGTGAAAGAAATGCCGGAAGCAGTCGTCTCAAAACCGGCTACATAGAAGAGGAATAAATTCGATGCGATAGTTTCAATGGACATGGGTTTTGATGCATCTGCTAAAAGAAATTCCAATAAAAACTTTTTTGAGGTAATGGAAATAATGCGATAGTTCCAAATGCTTACCATTTCCAGCTTTTGCGGACCAGTCATTGTCATCTGCGCTAATTTCGCCTTTGTTGCGCAGTTGCATTAGTAGCTGAAGCATATCTTTGCGTGAGATATTCTGCTCCTCACGCATTTTTATGGTGCGTTGTACGATCTGCCTCATCATATTGGGCGCCTGTTCGCGCCATCCCATACGTATGAATAGCTTTTCCAGACTGAAAGTGAAATACAATGCAAAAAATATTATATGAAACACGAACTGCCCTTATAAGACGGATTTTTTGAAAAAAAAAAAATGCATTTTTAATTTTATAAAAATGTGCACATACATAAATATTTTGAAATGCCAGTAAAAATACGGATTTGAACTAAAAAAAATTTGATTTTAGATTTAGATTTTTGTGATAAAAAATGCAATTTTGAAGTCGGTTAAAAAGAAAAACTTAAAGAATTATTTAGATATTAAAAAAAAAGACGGGAAATACAGAGAAGAATAAAAATAAAAGAAAATACATTAGGAAAAGGAAAAATAAACATTTAAAAAAATTAAAACAAAATAAAATAAAACCAAATTAAACAAAATAAAATAATAAGTTCAAGTAAAGAAATAAAAGTATATACATACTATAAAATAAAATAATTTAAAACAAATAATAAAATAACTTTAAACAAAATAAAAAATTTAAGCAAAAACAAACTAATTTAAAGTGAAAAAGAAAATCATTTAAAACAAAAAATAAGATAATTCAAAGCAAAAATAAAATAATTTAAAACAAAAAATAAAACAACAGAAAGTAAAAATTGAATAAAATAAAAAATAATACAACATAAAAAATAGGATAAAATAAAAAAATTTAACAAAATAAAAAGTAGAATAAAATAAAAAAATTTAACAAAATAAAAAGTATAATAAAATAAAAAATATAATAAAATAAAAAATAACATAAAATAAAATGAAAAATAAATAAATGAATATGTATGTATATAAAATAAGAAAAAGTCCAATTATATAAAAAATAAAGTTGTATACAAAATAAATATAAAATTAATATGTATGAAAAAAAATAATTTGTGTAAAAAATTAAAATAAATTAATTTGTATAAAAAAATAAAATACTAAGTTGTAAAAAAATAAAAATATGTAAAATAAAATTATATAAAAAAGGAAAAATTTAAATTATATAAGAAATAAGCAAAAATAAAATAACAAATAGGAATAAATAAAAAATAAAGAAAAAAACAAAAAAAATTAAATAAGTAAAAAATAGAAAAAACAATATGAAAAACTTAAAAAAATAAGGATGTAGGAAAATAAAATTTTGAATAAATAATAAGTAAAATAAATTTTTGAATATATAAATAAGAAAAAGTAAAAAATTGGAAAAAGAATTGAGAATCAAAAAAAAGTAAAATGCATAACATAGGAAAAAAATTAAAAAAACAATATTTTGAGTAAACAAAAAATATGATACAACTTTTAAATGAAATTTTTAACACATAAAAAATAAGAAAAAATAAGCAATATAAAAAATTAAGTAAAAGCCAAGATAAAGATAACAGGAAAAAATATATGAAATAAAGAAATAAAAAGTTAAAAAAAAGAAAATTAAAATTAAATTAAAGTTTGAGGGAAGTAAACCAATCAAAAATAAAGTATTAATAAAAATAAAAAACTGAAATATACATACATAAAAAATAAAATTAGGAAAAAAAAATTAAATATAAAACAAAGAAGCCCAACAGATAAAAAGAAAGAAACTTTGAAAACATGAACTTACCTAGGATACAAAAATTGACACGTCCCGCGCACCACACTCCCAAAAGTTGGCTCATTGACTTTCCGGCTAACGTTAAGAATCTCATTATTTGGCTCAAGAAAACTGTTTATTTCCAAACCAAAAAACAACGAGGCAATTACGTCGATGGCATAGCTAAAAGGAGATTTTATTATTATGATTATTTTTTTCTTGTAAGCGGAAAATCTTTTAACACGCCGTTTGTGCTAATTATGATAATTTTTTGTTTAACTCGATCGAACATTTCTGACTTGATTTCGATCATAGAAGACAAAACATACATACATACTTATACATACAAATCTATTTTGGTCGATATGAAACATGAAAAAAGCATCCACTTCAAGCACTTGTACTCACGTCCCCATTACATGCTTCATCTCGAACTCTTTTACATCGCCTTCCGCCAGCTGTTCATTCAAATAGTTTACCATTTTATCTGCCACTATTTCCACTGTGCCGAACATGCCTTTCAACTTGCCTGAGGTGAATGAGGC